CAGTTAGTGCATTTTTCTGACTTGTTTGAAATTTTGTCCAGGTAATCTATACTACCTATGAATTTTGTATCCATAAGGTCTGTGAATTTTATTTAGAAAGAATAAAGGAGACATTAGTAAAGTTTCATTATATAATGGAAATGTACTGCCTATACGTTCTATATTATCTATTATATTACATGTGTATAGTTTTAAATTATGTAAGGGATGTCAAATTAACAACTAGAAAATATTAAGAGAGTCCCAGTTCCAACAGCATGGCAGATTACATGTTCTAAATGTCTATTCATTGAAAGATCTAACATATGGATATAATGCCTTTTCAGATGCATCGGGACTTGGCATAAATTGAGTAAAACCAGATACAAACAGAAAGTAAACCAAGAACATAGAAAGTAAGAGAATAGAAGCTGACCTTTGCTCAGATTTTAACTTTTTTCTTTTCTTTTTTTTTTAATATATTTTATTGATTTTTTACAGAGAGGAAGGGAGAGAGAGAGCGAGCCAGAAACATCGATGAGAGAGAGTCATCGATCAGCTGCCTCTTGCACACTCCCTACTGGGGATATGCCCGCAACCGAGGTACATGCCCTTGACCGGAATCGAACCCGGTACCTTTCAGTCCCCAAGCCAACGCTCTATCCATCGAGCCAGGCCGGTTTCGGCAGATTTTAACTTTCTACTTCATAACTACACAGGAAACAAGGAAAGAAGAGGTAGTATAGGGCTTGCCAAAGGGGAGTGAAATATGAAACAATACCTCTCAATTAAGAGCATGAAACTCCACTAAACAGAAGAGAGAAATACCTGACTTGAATTTAATATTCAGAAGTACGAGGAACTAAAAAATGGCCCTTTTGAGAATGAGCAACCCCAGTCTAACCATCCCCAGGGTTTCTGGTCAAAATTAACACTTAATAGTGTGGTCTGCAAAACCTCATGAAGAAAATTCTACTTAAAGTGGCCCCAGAGGCCATCAGCACCTGAATCTATGGCCAACCTTAAGGTGACTATTGTGGGACAATGGAACATGGCGCTTCTCCTGATGTCACGCACTCACAGCATCACCTAGGAAGGACTCCAACCATGTCCGCCAGTGACCAAGTGTGTCAAAACCCCAAACTCAGTGGTCTAGGATCATCTGCTTCACAGAGAAAGATATAATGAAAAAAAAAAAAGAGACCATATTATAATAATAACTAAAAAGACAACATTCTTAGGAAAAAGCATGGTAGAAAATGAAAAGTTTATATGAAAAACGAACACACACAAATAGCCAAGAAAAATCTGAAAAAGAAAACTAATGAAGATATACTAACCCTACCAGCAATGAAAAAAATAATAAAAACTGTACAGTACTAGGGCATTAATAGAAAGACCAATAAAATAAAAGTCAAGACTATAACCCACACACTGTACCTAAGGAAATTCAGTAACTAATAAGAGTGGCATCTCCAATTAATTGGGAAAAGATAACTCTGTTTATTTTATGTGTCAACTCGGAGTGTTTCTGGGTGAAATTAGCAGTAGATCGGTGACTTTCAATAAAGTACAGTAGATTGCTCTCCATAATGAGGGTGTACCTCACTCAATCAACTGACGGTCTGACTAGACCAGAAGACTGGCTTCTGGAAGCCACATGGCATCACCAGCCAGCTGCCTTCCGACTTCATCTTCACGTGGGCCCTTCTGGGCCTCCAGCCGTCAGCCTCTGGACCACACAAAACTGGCTCTCTGGGGTCTCCAGCACCGGCCCACACAGCAGAGTCTGGACTTGCCAGTTCCCATAATTATATGGGAATCCATTAAAATAAATCTCTATCTTAACCAATCGGATGTGTACACATATACTGGAGTATAAACATATCCCATAATATGTCAAAAGACAAATGACAAGATGAGGGATAGTCGTTACTAACTCAAATCACAAAGGTCTGGTCTCTCTAATATATAATGAGTTTTCATGAATCAATTTTTTAAAAGACCAACAACTAAATAGAAAATTTTAAGATAAAAAAAATGATTTTAAAGTCTTGAAAAAAAAAGGAAATACAACTTCTTTTGAATATATATTATAAGATGTTCAGCCATCAATCATAAGATAAATGCAAATTATCTTGTGATACATGATCAGATTGGCAAAAATCCAGAAGCTTCATAAAACCATGCCTTTGGCACATGTGCCAGGAAACAAGTCCTCTCACACATCGATGGTGGGAGTATAGACTGGTACAACCCCTAGGAGAAACAATCTGGCAATATTTTCCAAAATTATAGCTGTAGTGTCACTTCCAGGAACTTACCCTGCAGATACGCTTGCACATTTATGAAATGGCACATATTCAAAGTGTATCATGGCAATATTATTTAAATTGCAAATAACCAAAAATAATCTAAATGCCCACAGAAAGAGAACTGGTAACCTAGATTAGGGTAGGTTCATAAATAAAGCTATAGAAAAAAGAATAAAGGACTACCTTATGTATTTTGCAGAGATTTACAGAAAATATATTTAAGTGAATGGGGAATGAAGTTACTAAAAAATAGAGAATACAAGTAGTATGTGATAGTATGCCATCATGTGTGTAAAAATTAAAATACGGTATTTTGCTGCTTTGTATAAAGAAACTCTGGGAAGAAATACAATAAACTAATACAGTGGTTATCTGGCAAAGGAAGGAGCGGTAGTGAATTAGGCAAAGAGGCCTTTCTTTGTACTTTTTAATTTTTAAAGCAAATGAATGTACTGATTATTCAAAACATTATATATTAAAAATTATTAAAGACATAAAATGAGTGAGGTATCTTAATGGAACTCTACAATTACCTTCTGTATCAATCACACTGACAAGACACATGAAGTATTATTTGCTGATTGATTCCCTAATATCAAATCTATGTATGCTCTGTTTGGAAACAAAACTGAGTCTGCAGAAAGGAATATTATGTCTGTTGTGAAAAACTGGCTTATTACATTAAACACATTTAAACTACTTTGGTTTTTAAATGTATGTGAATTCAGTATTACAAATTCTTATTAAAATTCAGGTTGATTTTGAAAATATTTTATTGGTTATTTTTGCTTTGGGATATATTTGGGGGAATTCTTCTGTGTTTGGAGATGCTAACTATATCTAAAATACAAGAGCTCATTCCCAGAGAACCTTCCTAAGTCAGTCTGAACCCAGAAAGAACATCAAACTCCCTAACACAGGACCCGTCCCTGTCAACCACACCCTCTGCTTAGCCACTGAAACGTGTCTGCCTTCCACTGCTTTGTCCCATCATGAGTTTAATGGAACTTGAAAAATACTAGACACTCAACAGTTAAGGAGCATGAAAATAAAACATTTCCCACATAATCTGAGGAGTATTTGGTTTTTCTCAGAATAAACACAATATTTATATTAAAAAGTTATGGTTATGTAGTATTTCCTATACAATGATATGTATCAATCAAAGCATAAAACAAACCTAAACTAAGCCCATTAAAATACTATTCATTAAAATAAGATTTTAACTGTAGTATGCTTTAAATATTTAAATGTGAAGGATATTAAATAACTAATTGCCATGCGGCAGAAGTCATCAGTGGCTGCTTCAGAGAGGAAGTAAATTTTGAGTTTGGTCTTAAGGAAATGACAGGCACTCAGAATCCTTAATCAAATTGGTTTTACAACCAGAGTTTCATTCCAGCACGCTGAAGGAAAATGAGTAATGTAATCTGTCTATTGAGTCCTTCCTAAATTTTGATGACATGACAAAACATTCTACATCTACAGAGAAGTTCAATCATTCTGAAAACCCCTGAAAAACCTACAATTTCACATCTCACAAACCCAGACACCAGGCTTTTACTGAAAAAAGATGAGAAAGGTTTTTAATTTCCCAGTTTAACAAAAGACCAGAACAAATAACTTGGAAATAATGTACATTCCTCCTTCAATAAATCCCTTTACATGCTAACAAAATTTTGAAAACATGTATGCAAAAGACAGGATTTAACATGTTTAATGTATTTTGTTTAAGGCATAAACTCCTTTTAGAAGTCTTAAATAAAAGTGACAGGGGAGACTCCAATGAACCCAAGATAATGCTTAAGAATTCAACTGAACGGATTAAAATTAAGCTTCATATATTTATATATTTTGCTTAACTTCAACCAATCTCAAGATGAGTAAAAAGCATTTTAAACACTGAAAAGTCAGTGTCACTGTCTTCTCATCTCTTCAGCAGCCCTACCCCACAAAAGAGAAAGAAGGGGGGGAGGGGGGTGGAGGCAAGTTACATCAAGATGCTTATGATGGAAGTGTATGCAAGTTTTATTTGGATTAGAAGTAAGAGTCCCTAGCTCACGATGCTTTAGAATTCCCTAATGAGTCTCTAAAACAAGATGAAACTGAACAATTTTAACAACTGCATATATTGACCAAATGCACATAAACTATTTTCCTAAAATTATACAAGCTGAAATGTATAGCCCATAACCTACAAGAATATTTAATGAGGCTAATTTAAACTAGATGCTGCTTTATATACTTAAGAGTACATGATTCCCTTTAGTTTTGTAATATATTGTAATTGAGAGGCTGTCTGTTTATAAGCTGGTAACATAAGAATAACATTGCCAAAGGAATAGATGTTTTAATATAATGGTGCTTATCATTAAAACAAAAACAAAACAAAATTAAGTTCACAATAAAAATACCATGAATGTACCAACATGAGCCTCAGACCACTTTCTTGAAAAGATTCAGAACACAAATGACAAAGAACATGAAGAGTCTGGCATTTTCTGCTGTCACTATCCAGTAATGTAAGACACTATTAAACATCCTTCCTACCTTTCCATTTCAAACACCCGTCCGTAAGCAAACAGTTTAGAGTAGGTTATAGTTTTGCATTTTCTCAAAATGATACTTTTCCCACCAGGAAGGGAACCTGCTGAGCGGCCGGACCTGGCGGCCAGAGCGAGGTGGGAGGGCAGCTGCTGAGCTCACCTGCTGCGGCTGGTACCGCTGCTGGGACTGGGAGGGCAGGTACTGCGCCTGCGGGGGCAGGTGCGGGGGCTGCGGCTGCTGGTTGTAATATGGCTGCTGGCCCTGCTGGCAGTAACCGCTCACACCTTGCTGTCCATACTGAGGCGGCATCTGTCAAAGGAAGCGAGAAAGTCAAAAGATGCAATTCAATGAAATCAACTATGCTTTCAATTCAGCAACATGAAATGGGTTTTTGCTAAGCAATTGAATTTAGTATTTTTAATATTCTTTTCCTTACATAAATTGACACACTGCCTTCTATTCACATACTATCAATGAAAGCAAAAGATAATTTGACTTTGCTTTAAAAAAATAATGTTTTCATCAGGTAGCAAATATTAGTAACTTCATAAAAATGCAGTGTGTGTGTGTGTGTGTGTGTGTGTAGAGGGGAAGGCCGGCTCCTAATACTGACATTTAAAAATAGCTAAGCATTATGTTAATCCATTTTCATGCATCACACAAGATGAAAATGGACGCCAACAGTCCAAGTTCACTAACTCCCTTTTTGCAGAATCTTGCGGTTTGGGTGTAGGTACAGGGTGCATGCTTCTTTTAACTAAGGCCAAAACTTCCCAATTACATTTTTGCGCATACAGTACAGTTACATTAGCAATTCCATTGACTATTTTGCTAAAAAAAAAAAAAACACACAAAAACCTACACTGCTTTATAACAAATAAAACCCTTTTAGAATAATATTATGAATGTCAAATAACAGAACCATCAATATAAGCTACTGAAGGAAAGTATTCAATCTAATATAAGGATAGTATTTCCCTAGTTGATGAAACAGGTAATGATGTAAAGCAGTGTACTTCTTGAAAAAAAAATAAGAGGTACAAACAAAAATATGGCCTTAAATGAGTCTTCTCCATCTCTAATTTACATAAGCCTAAAGATCCTGGAAACTATTAATAAAAAAAAAAAATCGTTTCTTTCTCATGTTATAAGTACACAGTTGATATTTTTTCTTTTTCTTTTCTTTTTTTTTTTTCTTAATGAGAAATCTACTTTCTAACTAGGAAAGAGAGCAGGACAGGAAAAGAAAAACAAGATATTAGGATGGCCAGAAGCAGTGCTCTGAGAGAAGAACGGTGACGTCACTGTTAATACCACAATATGGTCCATGTGAGAACTCCAAGAACTTGAGCCCCAGAAGCCCACACACTTCAGAATTCAGTGATCAGTTCCAGATACACACTTAAGAAACAAATGTGCTGTAGAATACAGAATGATGAAAACAGGGAATGGTAAACGGAGAAAAATATTAAATACTTTGCCTCTAAGATCAATTAGCACTGTAATTCATAACACATCCAATGAAGTAAAGGAAACCATGTAAAAAGTGAAAGTTCACACTTCTTTTGAACCAATCAAGGTATTTCCAAGCCCCATCAGCACCGATGACAACCACCCGGCCACCACGCTCTCCAGAGCCCTATCACACAGCCCTGTCAGCAGCGCAGGCACGTCTGGACGGAAAACCAATGAACAGCACAGTTGAATCCTTTACTTTTATTTGTTTGACAGTTGATATCTCATAATGAATGTATGTCCCTGACATAAGCCAAGCCAAAGAATTTCCATAAAATACAACTCCACATGCTGGAATACCATATACTACCCACAACACACATCCTTGCGTTCAACACCCATATGTCTGACTTGATATCTAATACTGTGTTTCACACAGTGTCTTTGCAGTTTGATTTGAAGCAGTTAGGGTAACACTTTGCCGGTGTTAAAATGACTGCAAAGCTCAGTCAACACAGCCAGCAAACTCCTCTCTGAATTGCACTTTGCTATGTTGCTTTCTGGTTACAGGAGCCTCACACACAATATGGAAGTGTGCTGGGGCTGGGGGCTCCATTTTCTAATGAAACAACAGGAAGGAGTCTACTAGCACCAGAGCAGTCACAACTAGGAAATCTCCACCTACTTCAGCTCTGAAGAGCTTTGGAGCACCCTGGGGTGCAGGCAGGGTGGGGAGAGTATAAGCAAATCTTCAATGGAGCCCAGCAACAATCTGTAGAACAGGCTGGCTTCAGAGGGAAGCCAGCAAGCACATCTGCGGGGAGGTTTCACAATTAAACTTCTAGATGTGGAGGCTAATTCATGTGGCACTAAGCTGACTGCCGCTCTCCCACTGGGAGCCTGGAATGAGGGGACCTGGAACACAGCGCCAGTGGGCGAGCAGCTAGCCCTGGGCCGGTGCCCCCCAGCTAGCCATGCCCTGAGTGAGGGCCACTGAACAGAACAGAGATGACGAACTCTGGTTCAGGTAAGGACTCTGGGTTAGAAATGTATACAGTCCGAATCCAAGTCCCACTGGGCCTCGGATGGGAATATAGCCAATCACAATGATATGTGCCCTACATTGCCACCTGCAAAATGGGGCTGTCTTCTCTGTTAATTCATATTGCTATTATAACCGCAATACAACAATCCGACTTGGAATTCTACACAGATGCTACGATTATTTATTAAATTACAAGTTATAGTGTGAGCTCTAAAGTATTATTTCCTAAGTCTTAACTTTAAAGAGCAATTTCTAAATATAATACTTCAGTTGTCTAGAACTAAAGTCTAATTCTTTTATGAGCAATATTGTTTTTATTTTTTTTAAATGTCTTCATTGGTTTTTAGAGAGAGAAGAGGGGAGAGGGAGAGGGAGAGGGAGAGAGAAGAGAGGAGAGGGGGGTAGAGAGAGAGAGAGGGAAGAGAGGGAGGGAGGGAAGAAAAGAGGAAGGGAGGGAAGGAGGGGAGACAGACCGACAGACAGAAAGACGGGATCAAACCCACAACCTGGGCACATGCCCTGACCAGGAATCGAACAGGCAATCTTTCGAGGCACAAGATGGCCAACTGAGCCACATTGGCAGAGCAGCATTCTTGTTTTAATCACTTTAGATACAGGGCTTTAAAGATCTATTGGGTGGGTCTCTGACATCTTCACAAATAGTCACTATGAAACGTGAATCGACAGGCTGAGCCTACTGCTGCCGGCTGCACACAGCCGCAGAGCACAACTCTGGTCTCTGCTGTCTCCTCACTTGCAGTCAAAGCACTCAGCCACTGCTCATGACCCTGAACTTGATCCCAATGGAATCTGCTGAGGATGGAGAAACCCACTGCATCGTAAAAACTATGCGGGATCAGTACATGAGGAAAGCACATGGGCTTTTATTGTTTAAAGTCAATTTTGGCTACTGAGAGCCTTTTTGTTTACTTCTTAGCTCTCAGCACCAAATTCAGGGCAAACAAGATTACCAGACAGTTGAGAGCAAGTTACTGAGACCAGGAAGCATGTGCTGAGAGCTGAGCATTCAAAGCCTTTCTAGCTCAGAAGTCCCCCTCTCCCACCAGCCTAACTAGCCGAGCACAGCCCCAACTCCATCATTTTCATGCCGTTCTGATTTTATTTTATCACAGGGGAGATGACTGGATTCAGTTACTAGTAGTTAGTGTATTTACTCAGTCTTTATCACTAAAATATAAGCTTCCACACTCCTGGCATGCTTCCTGGAAGAGGGACTGCCATCAGTAAATGTCTATTGAATGAATGAATGAATGAATGAATGAATGTCTTCCAAAAGGTTACTAAGTCAAGTTGTTATAAAAACATTAAAGTGATGAAGAAACTCATTATAAAAGTGAAGTCTCTTGTGCCATCCAAATCTGATGCATGGATAGCCAGTGAGCCTCACGCTAACGCAGCACAGGGCCCTCCGAATGATTGCTACGAATGACGGACCTTCAGCGTGAAAATAAAAAGAAAAGCTCTAAACTAAACTAAACGGAAATCTTCAGAATATTCATGAGATGATAGTGTTTCTGTTTGTTATTTAAAAATAAGAAAAACAATAATTTATTTCACTCATTTCTAAATAAGCAGGACCTTAAAGTGGAACACAAGCACACACAGCAAAAAAATTATTCTAATTTTTAAAGAAATCTGAATGTTTTCAAACATGGTCGGAGAGGGAAAGTATGGCTAAAAATGATTCATTTACTTTAATACTTATCTTAGGAAACTATTTTAATGAAGGATTTGAGTGGTGACTTTCACGCCTCTGTGTTATGTTAAATGTGCAGAATTGCAGGCTCCATTTTTCATCTCACCTTACCCTGAACTTAGTGCTCATACTTGAAAATTGAAGAAATGACCAAGGTTTCTTTCCCCTTTTTTATTTCTAAAAAGTTGTACACAGCAGGGTCCCCACTGAGGTAAGAGTGCACTTCCAATGGCCCAGCACTTCCATGTAACAGGCACATGCCAATGAGACACCGAGTGTCCCGGAAAGGGTACTCGACGTAACACTGCTTCCGGGAGCCAGGAAGTACACAAATTCTAACACAGTAGGGAAAGGGGAAAACAGTGTTTCCTAGAGTCACACATGGAATTCTACACAGTATTCAAAAAGGAAAGGAGTAAGACCCACACATGGAATAATTTCAAATCTAAAAATGATAATGCTGAATTTGAAAAGAAAGCATCGAAAGGTTAATGCAATGTGATACCATTTGTATACAGTTTTAATACGCAATAGTAGTATATATTGCTCAGCAATAAAGTAAAGTACAGTCACATGCATTGAAAAGGAAATATGTGACAATCTTAGGGAGGGGAGTGGGGGAAAGATGGGGTGGACCTTCAGCCTTGCATTTTCTTCCCTCTAAAAAGAGAGACGAAGCAAATATATGTGTTAACAACAACTATAACCTTGGCATAGCTACACAAGTATCTACCGTATTTGTTTCCGCTTTCATGATGTAAAATAAAGAGTTCCCCTCCACCCTATCCCACACTCCAGGATCACCAGCCAAAAGGCAGGACAGGTGGCTCAGCACACACAGGCGGGAGGGAGGCGGCTGGCTCCAGGAACTGCCTGGTCCTCGCCCCGTTACAGAGCCGCCAGGACCGTGCCCCCGTGCTCAGCCCGGACTGCTACCCGGTGCCCCGGACCCTGATCTGTTGCAGGCCCTGCACGGGACGACAAGCCAAAGACCTCACAGGCCCCCAATCCCCGCCGCTGGCAGCTCCCTCAGGGAGGACTCCTGCAGCTGGTTCCGTCCCACACAGGCTCAGCATCTGCATTCCTGGCTGC